CAGATACAAGATACAAATACATACGTTAGCTCTTTCCATCTATTTTTGGGGCGCCGCTGACAGCCAAGCGTCACTTGGCAGACAGTCGGGCAGACGGCGCGAGACTGTCTGACAGTCGGCCAGTCGGCCAGACATGCTACCCCATAAGCGACTTTTTTGAGCTGGCGAAATCTGCACTGCAATGGCTCATTGTTGACGTGGGATGATTATATGGTTGTTGGTCCACCATGTCGAGGTTTCACTCTGGCCGCGTGTTAAAAATGAATTTGTCATCTCTTAACTGTAAACTGTGTGACATGTTTGCGAAAATCGCCAGGCAGCCAGGCAGCCAGTCAGCAATCAACAGAAATCAGAAATCAGAAATCAGAGACCCGGCCAATACATCAACTGGGCCCTTGCGCTATGGTCCAAGTCTGATTGATTTGCATCGGGACTTTTTATTTAAATTGACATTTTTATTTCGCTCAGTGTTGTCGCACGTCTTGTTATTGTTATATTTTTTTGTGGACTTTTGTCGAACTGCAATAATTATGTCAGTCGCATTTATCGAAGTGATCGATGGGCCATCGTTGATGCAGTTAATCGGGAGTTCGGGGTGGGGATTTTAGGCGTATGTGAATAACACATTTTGAATAAACGACCCTGGTGAAAAGCTGGCAAGTATTTAAAAGAAATCAGATTAATTTTACTAATCTGTATAAATTATTTAACGTTAAGCTAAATTATTTTTAAAAGTTGCAAATTATAATTGGATAGAATTGTTTTATACACCTGCAGAGGGTATTATAATTTAGGCATAAAATGTCTAACGCATAGAAAGAGACGTTTCCGACCCCATAAAGTATATATATTCCAGATCAGCATCAACCACGCTGTCCATCTGTCTGTTCCTCTGCGAACAAGTCTCTCAGTCATATAGCTATCGTCTTGAAACTGTGCCGGGCGGATCGGACCACTATATCATATAACTGCCATAGGAACAATCGGTACAAACGTAAGTTCTTGTGGGGAAAACTGGTTTGTTTATGAAGACATACATAAAATTACTTTTCGTATGACAAAATATTCTGTTTTCCAAGATATTTTCAAATAACTTCGCATTTACGAGTTTCACTATTCTCACATATCCGCAATACCGAAAGGAAAATGTCTACAAAGATATTAAATACTAATTTTTATGTGCTGATCCGACCTTCTCCGCATTTATTCCTAGTTCTATAAACTTATTTTACTCAACTTTTGAATACTACTCACTGACCCTTGTATTGCATATGCAAACACTTTGCATTTAACCAGTTCCAAATTGATTACTCTTGCACTAATAGAGTATTATTAATAAAAACTATCAAATGGTAGTTTGTCTGTGTAACTATCAATATCTCGTAATTAAACAAATGCATTGGATTCTATGGATAAGGATATGCCATTAAGTCGACCGATTTATTGTGCATAAATAAATAAATAACTGGCAATTGAAAACACAAGCAATAGTACAATTACACGCACAGGTATCGAGTATCTGGTGTATTGAGTATCGAGTATTGTAATTACAACTACGCGATGGCGGCAGTTATTAATTGATATTCGTACATGGGCAGCAGATAAAAATGAAATAAGTGGGCCATTTACGAGCAACAACAAACAGTTCCAATTGGAGTCACATTACACCCCCGAGCCCCTCCAGCTGCTGGCAGGCACCTCCATGGTTACATGCTCCCATGCGCTGTGTAATTGGAGAGCGTTTAGCTCTAATTTTGAATGTCAATTGGTATCAAAATGGTAACCAGGTGGGGGGATATGTGTGTGTGTGTGAGTTTGTGTCTGGCCACACACACACGTGTGTTTGCAATAAACGCATCGTTCAGATCATTGGACAAATTGCCTCGCGTATAATTGCGTTGATTTTGCTAAAGAGCGTGAAATTGATATGCAATTAAAATAATATTTTTCCACGTGAGTGGCGGCATTTATTATATAATAATTTTGGCATCGATTTCAGCTGCAGCACGTACAGCTTCCAAATGGAAAGCAAAGTTTAAAAATAAAACGTATGCATGAATTTTTATAGCAGCTGTTGCTGATTTTGCCCAATGTGCGTGAAATATTAATTTTTCAGCGCGAATTTTAAATACGGGAAATTCACACAAATTGCAAGCTTCGATTTACGCAGGATATATTAAAGCTGCGGCTCGGGCCTTCCGCTCGAGTCCTGCTTAATTTCTGGCTGCAAGGACAACGTCTGACAACACCAACAACAACAACAACAACAACAACAACAACAACAACAACTGCGACTGCTGCGGTTAATGGCTTTTGAATGCAAATTCAATTTTATCGCACTGTTCAGTTTTTAATAAGATTTCCCAACGTCTGCCGCTGTCGCTGCCTCCACAGCCAAAAGGTGCACTGTGCTGGAAATGAAAATTAGTTGCAAGCGCAGCCTAAAAAAAAGAGAATAGAGTAGAAAAAAAATTTAAAGACTCGCAGCCCAAAGAGACACGCGACTGGCAACTGCGAAAAATGCTGTTTGTGGCGCCACAAGCTCTACTACCCCCGCCCAGACGATACCACAACAAGCTGTAGGCAAGGCCTCAGTGGTGGTGGTTCACACACACAGCCACACACACACACACTCACACACACATTTAGACATGGCCAGCACTTTTACCTTTCGTGCTTAGAGGGCACAACCTACAATCCAACAAATTGCGTTTTGTGCAAGAGTGGGTGGGAAAACTGTCAGAATGAATGAGTAGACTGGTCACACCTACTGTCAGTCAGCTACGGGGCAACAACTACAACAACAACAACAACAACAACAACTACGACAACAACAACAATGTACGATATCATTTTGAACTGACCAAGGCGTTGCCATTGCTCTGCGTCTGCGTCTGCGTCCGACTCTGGCTTTGAGTCTCTGGCTTTGGCTCTGCAGCCCAACAGAAAACAACTTTAAAGTTCACTTAGATTTAAAAAACGTTCTTACACATTAGTGTAGAGTTCTTTTTTTCAATTACGCAAATGGTCTTTGAACATGGTTGAAAACCGCTTAGGTTCTCAATGGAAGCAAGCCATTTCTGAAATTTAACAACCCATAAAAACCGAATTTCATTGAATTGCTGTATTTTGGAAACCAAGTTCAAGTTTTTAAGTGTTGGAAAATGTTAAAATACAGTTTATTGATGTCTTTGATCAGATCTTCAATATATTCTTAACCAGTAGTAAAGTTTTGAGATATTTCAACTTATTCAATTTCATTCGTTTCTATTATACCTTTAAAATTAACTAGCATATCACGAAATTGTATAATAAGTCCAAGCCTAAGTCTCAAATTATTTACAGGCTTCAAATATACTGGATATGGTCAAAGATATATTCTTCTGCCTAATACAAGCCAAACTTCACAGCACAATGTATCCTGCTTAATGCTTTGGAAGAGCATATCATAACACTTAAAGCCTTTATCAATTTAAAAAGTTTGTTATAATACGAATCGGGTGATTGAACTGCTGCATCTTTAAAGCTAATGAGTTTGTACAATGCTGAAGCAACTTTTAGTTCTTCCTAGCAAAGTGCCAGTCATATGCATGGGCTTTGGCCAGCTGCAATAAATATAAATACATTCATATTTACTTATTATCTATTCGAATACTTGCTAATCACGCAGCTGCTGCCCGTTGCTGGCGAAAATCTCAATACATTTGACTGTTGCTCATGAAACTGCATAAACTTGGCTCCACTCCCAGCCAGAATCGACTGCCAGCCCAGACGCTATTATTTCCGACCGCATGATTTTATTTTCGTGGAGCAGCCAGCTCCCCGGCTGCCTCGAACCCCGAGTGATTACTCCTTTGATATTTCGGTTGGGCGCCTGCTTCAATTTTGTGCAAATAATGTACTGGCAGACACGACACGACGGCTTCCTTGAGACATGCTGCAAGTGGTTGGAGTAGCATTTTCTTTGCTATCGAGCGACAGAAAACTTCTCAATTACTTTGGCTTGCAAGTTGTTTAATATTTTGCTGATGTCGCTGACTCCGGAAGCGGGCCGGGACGGGACACAGTGGCCACTTTCTTGACCGCTCGTTACGTGCTGCATGTGTTGCCCTATCAGCTCCGGCTCCGGCTCCGGCTCCGGCTCCCGGCTCCCGGCTTAAGCTCTAACTATGGGTCCGCTCACATGCGGCATCGGTGGCAACAACTTGAAACTTCCGCTACCAAGTTTGGGGTTAATTATTTTCCACTTTTGTGCTCAATTTCATAATACTTTGCTTACAAGTAAGTTAGTATCCACAAACTCAACTATTTGAAGTCTACAGAAAACTTTCTTATAAACTGAGGGACTCTTAGCGTAGCTTCAAACAAAATATGCACTTTTTCGTATATTGATAAAGTAAAAACCAAATGCTGATCTTTACATAAATAGAACAAATAGAATAGTTGATCTTGGGCACATCAAGAGACAAAGAAAATTCCAACGAACATCACAATTTCCTAGAAGGAAAAATCAAAAAACCTTTTTTTCTGATTGAATTGATTTGAATTGGATGACGTCTTCTTACATTGATCTACCTAGCTTTATGGAAATTATAAAAAGTATCTATTTGATGAAAGTCTTAAACTATTTGTCAAAAAACTTTGCTATATATCTGAATATTATGCATTAGCATTCAGAAGTACAGTGAAAAGTCTGTTGAGTGTCAGCCTTATAGAGGAGGAATAGATGTGACTTGATTTATATTGGTAGGATGTCTTTGACATCGAATACAAAACCAAAACTTAGATTAAGAACTAATACAAAATATAAATTTGTTAGCCTTGCAATTCGTTTAAAATCTTAAACATAATTTAACCTTCCTTTTTAGGCTATTATAATGATTACTTGATATTACAATTTTAGTTAGCGTTTTATATATATAAATATTTCTAAGCTAAAAAAAATATTTAATATTATTATGACTATTGATTAAGCTTTTTTTATTTCTTTTATTTTCCAGGTGATAATTCCATAAGTAAGTACAAATTGTTTCTTACCATTGCGCAACATCAAAACCACAACATTTTAAATTGGCTACATAAGTACAGCAAATTGCATTCGTTTGAGTTCGAGAAACCAAAATAAATAATAAACACGACTATAGAAGGCTGGAATATACAGAAATTGGGTTTGCAAATGAGCTCCGAGACCGCAAACATAATTAAATGTTATTAAAATACTAAAAAGTGTGCGAAGGTTATGTTGAAAGCCGCAAATGAAACAGCTACCTATTTAAGACATTTTTTTCGTTTTGCCATTTTAATTTTCCATTGAATTTTTTGCCATTTGCTTTTTTCTCAGCCTTGTTTTCGGCTGTGTTTGAATGGGTCAAAACAAGCTGCAAAGGCATAGATAAAAGCATTAAGAGTGAAATTATTATAAACATAATTACATTTTTCTTTTTCTGTTTTCTTTTTGGGAATCTAGTTTTACTTTTCTATTTGCTTAATATAAATACTTTACTTTACTCGCGTTCATTTTAATAGTCGGTGGGTTAGTTGGCTGCCATTTTGAATCGAAACTCGATTCGTCTAGACGACGGCCTCTCCCTGAGGCTCGACCAAAAACTGAGCCAATCAACCGTCAACCATTTTCGACCAATTCGACGGAAACGACGCTTTTTCATGTTCGTGACCAAAGTTTAAGAGCGCTGTGGGCCTGGATAAAAAAATATTTTACCTGAATTAAATTGAGTAACAAAAACACGAAACATTGTTTTTTACCTCTCGCAAAGATACACACACTCACACGCAAACATACAACATACATGCACACCGTTCTGCCTCTACTTTTTTGGCGTTTTTTTGTACTTTTTATACTCTTACCAAGCAGCGGAAGGTCAAGCAACTTTGTCATGAAGAATGCACGGCTATTACGAAGAACTGCTTACACTAGATTTCGTATTGAAGTAATGACATTTAACAACAGATTTCGGTATTTCACAGAACGGAAATACAATCAAAGACCTTGCAAACATAAATAAGTATATTCTTTAATAACCAAAATTATAGAGCTTTGCGCGATATCTTCCAGTCCTGAGTAATTTAACAGTTACTTTAACATGCCAGCTGATATGGCTGCAAGTGCATGTTATATATTCAATGTGAATTAAAAACGGCAAATTTCCAATAGAAAATGCATTTAACCAAATGTATAGTAAATATAAAATATTGGTCTTCCATATGTTTTTGCCACATTCCTAACCTGGCATATTTTCAAAATTGTATACAATATAATGAGTTCAGAGATAAAGGAATAGAAAAATTAAACTCAAATAAACTTAATATCAACCTTTTTAACTAACATCCACTTTACCAGGAAGATAAAATTGTACACAATTTAAATTGTTCATAGATAAACGAATGGAAAAATTAAACTCAAATAAACTTAATATCAGCCTTTTTAACTAACATACACTTTACCAGGAAGATAAAATTGTACACAATTTAAATAGTTCATAGATAAACGAATGGAAAAATTAAACTCAAATAATCTTAATATCAGCCTTCTTAACTAACAAGCAGTTTACCAGGAAGATAAGAAAAATGGACTAATGGTTATTTAAACTAAATGTGCCATGAAATCTTTAATCTTACGCGTTCGGCTAACATATTGTATAGTTCGTTAGAGGGAATGTTTTTATTTAAGGGTTCTGGCAGGGCATCAGCACTTCGGCGTTTTGACAACAGCTTTTCTTTCTTGATTCCCTAGTTGTTCTGTTTCTGTTCTGTTGTTTGTATAGCGTATAAAAAATGTACAAAGAGAGAACAAAACCCAAAGCGAAACACGCTACCAGTTTCGGTTTTTTTTTTTCTTTTTCCAATGCCTGCCAAGTTGGCCCCACTTGTAATATCATTTGTCGACGTCGACTCCTGTTTCCATGTGTTGGTCACTTTGGTGCCCGGACGCGTCGGTATTGGTAAAGCGGTTGCGGAGGAAATAATTACATGATTGAGGCACTCGCACACACACACACAGAGACGCATACACACACTGGTGTATACACAATGACAACAACAACGGTCACCTTCTTGGTGGTGGTGCTGGTGGTGCTGCTGTTGTTGCCATTGTCGTGGTCCGATCGAACAGAACACGTTAGCCCGGCCAACTCCAGCTCTGGCTCCTGCTCCCGCTCAAGCTCTGAGGCCCTGTGACCATTGCATGACAGGGTCGTGTGTGTAAACACACCAAGGCATGTGTGTGTGTGCGTGTGTTTGCAAACGCCGGCTATAAAATGAATGGCGGCTTTGTATACTGAATTCTTGTTTTGTTGTACTCGTTTTTTGTTGTTTTTGTTTTTTTGTTTGTTTTTGTGTATCATGCCAAAGCCGCAACAATGACAATGACGACGGCGACGAAGGCCCAGAGCAATTATTGTATCGCTTGCACAGTAAAACAGCCGGCAGCAGGAGCAGCAGCAGCGGAATATGCCCTTTGCCTGACCACCCTGTGACCTCTTACCCAACCCTAAATGCTTTTACCTTATTGGCCAGCGGGTCGCCAGGGCAAAGGAACAGTATATATGTCAGCAACGTACTATAAAAAATATATTTTCCTCCTAAAACTGCTTGATCTTTTCGATAATTGCAAGAAATTTCACGCAAGTTTTCAATATTTAATTTAAGAAATTCTTTTGTTTAATTAGCAATAGGTTTCACATACTTTTATAGAATTTCTTGTGCTTTAATGCTGATTTATAAATGTTTTAAGCATCATTTCTTAAAGCATAATTATCAGACGATAAACGTGATAGTACAGTACAAACAATCCTAACGGACACTTATATTAAACGGAGGTTATATATATATAATATATATAAAATCAGTCCACACCCAATCTATTTTTCTCTATTAGGCGGACACATCTCTAGAACGTACAAAAGTGTCGCTGTCCGGCCAAGGCAGTTTTCACTGTGTTTGTATTAATAGCTGCTCTTCTTAATAACTAAATATTCGCTCTTGGGCTCAAAGTTTAAACACTTGTCAAGTATTCTTTAAAGTTTTACAAATATTTGTTCAATTTTTACATTAACCAAGCCTACAAGCCAAGCCAAGTGTTCCATTTCACATTGTAATTATAAATAAAAGTTAATTCGTTGAATTAAATAAACCCATATTTCCTATATTTTATTTGAACAACAAACTCAAAAAAACTGAACTCTGATTTCCTAAAACAAGTTATAATTCATTCGTAAAATATATAAGACAAGCCCGCATTGAAAGCCCGTTCTACTCATAAGAATCTATAAACTATTCTAAGTAAGCCCATTAAAGTAACTCATTAAGTTTGCATTTGCCGAGCGAAATATAACAATTCCTCTAAGAGGTGTACACAAATCATCAGATTCATGCCAAACCCCCTGCCACTGCTATAATTCTCAGCTACAATTAGTCTGTCTATAACTGTGGCTAATAGTTCGTAAATAGTTGGCCAATATTTACATGTGAATGTGCGGCGTGTGGGTTGTGTTGTGGTCGCATTATGAAAATATTTGCCTTCAAATTGCTCATCTCTCGATTTCATTGTCCATCGACGTGTCGTCGTCCAGGGGCCCGCTGTGCGCCCCCCGACTCTCGGCCGTCTTCTCGGGTCTTCGTCTCGACAAGGCAGCCGTCAGTCTGAGGGCTCTGAAAACGTTTTCATTACAATAGTGCGTAGCCGCCGCCGCAGTGGCCGCCGCCGCCGCTGCTGCTGCTGCTGCTGCTGCCGATCGGGCAAATGTGTCAGAGCTGAAACGTCATGATTAATGATGGTGGCAAGCATGTGGGCCCGAAGGCCAAGCCAGAGCCTAAGACCGAGCCCTAGCCCGAGCCAAAGAGTCCGGACTGGGCTGTATTTAGAGGCCGGGACGGAGACAGCCTGGGGGTAGGGCAGTGCGACCTGGCAACTGGGCCATGGGAAGGGACAAACAAACATCGAGAATGGGTTTGGGAATGGGAATGGAAATGGGACCACAACTGGCGGTGGCACTGGCTCTGGCATCATTTTATCAAGGTAAATTAGACAAAAACAAAAAAAACAACACGACAAACAAAATGTAAACAACGCGCCAAACACAAACTGAAACACTTGGCGGAGCATTAGGCGAAATTAGAAATTAATCCTGGGCTGCACTCGCGGCGTCTCATTGGTATTGTTGTGTCTTGACCATGGCAACAACTGCGCAAGGGGCGGGAACATAATGTCGTTAGACAAACATTCACAAACATTCAGGGGATGAATATGTGGAATAGATACAACATACATTGACGAATATGTCGAATATTACTATAAATCATGGACAGCTAATTTTAACTATAATAAACAAGAACAAGCTGTTGTCTTCGGGGTGTGAAGAGCTTAGCAGTGTTAAAGACTGAACGATATATTTAGTATTATTATTATTATTATTTATTCGGCACTTGATTCAATCCCTTTAAGGAAAGCCAGTTATTTGTTGGGATTAGGACTCAAAAGCCTATTAGTGATAAAACTAGGGCAATTGCATAAAATAGGTGGAAAGTTTCTGTTCCACTTTACAAAAAGCTGACTAGATTGCGCTTTAGCTTACTCAATTTATTAAAGTCGTATCTTTAACTAAAGACGACTATAAAAAAGCAGTATATATTCGCAAAAAAGTATAAACATTTACATTACTTTACTCCAAATTCTCGACCACGAATTAGATTAATTTACAACTACACTTTAGCAATTCTCAATACAATATATCCGAAATCTGTTTATCTTCAGAGAGCTTAGTTAATATAATTTAGTTTGATGCAAAATGAATGTTTATAGGTAAATATAATATAAAATTATTATACAGAGAGACTTTTATTAAATTTAAATATCTTAAACTTAAATTTTGCAAGTTCGATTACTGATAGCTAGAAAAATATATCCAAAATCTGTTTATCTTCAGAGAGCTTAAATGTAATTTAATTTAATGAATGCTTAAAGGGAATAAATAAATAACCAATATTAATAATATAATAT